ACTTTATTCTTGTAATATTACAACTTTTGTTTCTAATGTTACGACTTTATTCTCCTACGTAATATGACTATATGTTACTTTATTCTTGTAATATTACAACTTTTGTTTCTAATGTTACGACTTTATTCTCAAAATAAATAAAACGTCTCTAACCTGGCCCTATAGAGCAGATACTAAATCATGATTCAGAAAATGTTCAGCACTAGACCGTGGAAGCCTCTCCCTTTCTCTGGTAAAAGCTGTTTATCCGCTCAGCAGCAGCAGCAGCCTCCCATGACTGGATCACATCCATATTTCTGAGAAGTGCTGTTTATCTAGATTCCAGCTCATTAAGACTTGGATTAGGACATGGGAATCTAAGCTTTTTCTCTTGTTCTTGAGGTGGTAATGACAAACTGTGTAGATGCTTGGATATAGATCTGAACGAGGAGGAACAGACCTGAGACTAAAACAATAATAACTTCCTGAAAATGAGACCAAAGATTATTTTACACTTGATGGCTCATACAGTAAAAATATTACTTCAAATGCACATATATATGTATATTAACTCAAGGAACTTCAATGTCAGATCAACCATCAGGCCCTTTTTGAGACTTGTATTCTGGACAGATGAGACAAAAATGGAAATACTATAAATAATATTCATTATTTTTTATTTTCTTTTTGTTTCTCCATCTTCAAGGCTTATAACTTCATCTCAAACAGCCGGCAGCACACGCAGCTTTCTCCTTAAAATTAGCTGGACCAAACCTTTTTTCACGTCTTATCCTAACATAACCAAATACTTGAATACATAAACAACAATCCAGAAGAACAAATGGTGGCCGTTTGATTTGCATCTGCCTGTATGTTTTCAGCAGAGTGGACCTCAGTGCTGCTTGAATTCATCAGCGCTCCAACTACAGATTTCTCTTCTGTCAGCCCACAGAACTGACAAAGACTCAAGGAGGTGTGGAAACATCCTCAAGAAAGTGAGCAAAAGTCTGGTTGCTTTCTGATTTAAGCCTGCTTTGGGTTGCCATGACTCCATGACTGAGAATTTACACAAGCATTACCAAATATTAATTTTTATTCTTACACAATTTAATGCTTCAACCTTGGATTGTTGGAAGATCAGTCCCTAAGAGTCTATAACATTTATTAAAACATAAACAGAATTTATATGAATGCACTGGAAAAAAAATTTAAATCTAGATAAGAAAATTGGTTTCTTAAAATAAGTGCATTTTTTCTCGAAATAAGGATATAAGTGAGACACTTTGCCATTGGCAAATCATCTTATTAACCTACTCAAATTAAGGGTAAATTCGCTTAATTTAATGCTACCTTCACACTGGACGCAGCAAGAGCAGCAAAATCGCGTCTGCTGCTTAATTTTTGTCAATAAACTGTTTCAGAGGAGCAATCACAGCGCTCTGTATCATCAGCGCTGTGTCTCTCTCCCCGCCAGCTCCCAGATCAGCTTCTCTGATTGGTTGACGCGGCGCGTTGAGCAGCAAAAGTTAAATTTTTCCATCTTGAGCAGCAGCAGCGCGTTTGCGGCGCGCCACGCTCGTCAGATGCTTAAACGCGCCTGACGCGCTGCTTCAGCTGCTCAGACGCGCTGCGCCTGCTGCTCAAAATGCGCCGCGGGACCTTTTGCTGCGCCTTGACGCGTGTCAACCATTGACTTTGCATGTAAACTCGCTGCTTCTGCCGTTGTGAACGCAGCATAAGACATTTAGACTTATTTCTAGATCTTTTTGTGCAGTGTGCTTCGTATGAACATTTGTTGGTTTCTAACTAAGAACTTGTACGGGAAGTAGATCCACATCTGCTTCTTCTCTCCTCACTGCGGCTGGAGTCCCACGGCCANTTTGCCATTGGCAAATCATCTTATTAACCTACTCAAATTAAGGGTAAATTCGCTTAATTTAATGCTACCTTCACACTGGACGCAGCAAGAGCAGCAAAATCGCGTCTGCTGCTTAATTTTTGTCAATAAACTGTTTCAGAGGAGCAATCACAGCGCTCTGTATCATCAGCGCTGTGTCTCTCTCCCCGCCAGCTCCCAGATCAGCTTCTCTGATTGGTTGACGCGGCGCGTTGAGCAGCAAAAGTTAAATTTTTCCATCTTGAGCAGCAGCAGCGCGTTTGCGGCGCGCCACGCTCGTCAGATGCTTAAACGCGCCTGACGCGCTGCTTCAGCTGCTCAGACGCGCTGCGCCTGCTGCTCAAAATGCGCCGCGGGACCTTTTGCTGCGCCTTGACGCGTGTCAACCATTGACTTTGCATGTAAACTCGCTGCTTCTGCCGTTGTGAACGCAGCATAAGACATTTAGACTTATTTCTAGATCTTTTTGTGCAGTGTGCTTCGTATGAACATTTGTTGGTTTCTAACTAAGAACTTGTACAGGAAGTAGATCCACATCTGCTTCTTCTCTCCTCACTGCGGCTGGAGTCCCACGGCCAATGGGCTCAAACGCATAAATATTCAACTGCTAGCTAAAGCATTAACCCACCCCATGAAGTCACCACTTGGAGTAAAGCAACATGGCGGCGCACCTAAGAAATCTAGATGAGTAATTTTTTCTTAAAATAAGCGCATTTGTTCTTGGATTGAGGAGGTAAAAGATACATTTTGCCAACGGAACAAGAACATTTTCACTTAAAATATGGAAACACAATTGTCTTATTTCAAGTGCATATTGTCTAATTATCTTATTTTAAAAGTAAAAATACTCAATTCTTTTGGCAAACTGCCTCATTTACCTTCTAAAATTAAGGGTAAATACACTTAAGACATTTTTACTTATTTCTAGATCGTTTTTCCAATGAAAAATTATAAAACAAAGCTTAAATGTTTCTTTTACATGTTTCATGTTTGTAATATAATTATTGATAATAATGAGACACAATCTGGTTAATTAGGTTAGTTTGGTTGAAGGTTTCAAACAAAGAAGTGCGTCCTGCTCTGTATCTGGCCCTTTCCTACAGCCTCTTATCTCTGGCCGATATGGCTTAAACATCTAATCCCTTATTTTTTCGACCAAGTCCAATTTTTTTCTTTCTCTGACTTAAGTTTCATGACAAAAATAACAAATAATATAGAGTGTATCACTTTCAAAACAAGCTTTTATGCCAACCATCCTCCCTGGGTGCTAACCTTATTTTAAAGAAACAGCATTTAAGATGTGAAAAATGCTGTAAAATAATCCTGTTTAACAAGAAAACACTGAAAATATAACATATTAAATATTAGCAGCTGATGGTATCACACAGATAACTAGTTTATCATTTATGAGGGGAAATCTAAGAACAAAACGTGATGAACTCTGAAGAAAGGAAGCCTGAGGAGGTCAAAAACTGTGAATAATTGATCAAATGGATAAATTGAGTTTAGTGTCTGTGAAAGTGTCCCTCTGACAGCCTTACCTCTGAGCAGCTGCTGCTTGTGGTTCAGACAGTCTCTCTCTATGGTGGCCAGCTCATGTTTGTGCTGCTGGATTATTTTCTTCAGCGCGCTGTCCAGATCTTGTTGCTGCTTCTGCAGAAACTCTTGTTCCTGGATGCAGTAGGACAGAAGCAGTCTTTAGACAACGACATATTATGATGCCTTAACAGGGCAAACCCACGTCCCCCCCCACAGATGATGGCAGAGGCAGTCAGCAGGTCATGTGAGGTTTGTGTTGGTTTAAGTCTCAGCCAAGCTTCTGTCAGCCTAAGAACAGCTATAAACCCGATAAACCCGACAGAGACATCTGGTATTAACCACTGAGTCACACTGTCGGCCATGTTATTCTGGGCTCGGCTGACACACAAAGCCTTTCTTTAACCCGTCCATATGGAGCAGACACTGCAAACCAGCTAGAGGACGAAACACGGTGCACTTTAGCTTAGATTAGGTCTGACATCTCTAGATATCAGAAACTACTAATGTAGAGGTTCACCAAGTGACCAATGGGCGCCCATCATCTTCATCTTCATCGGCATGGTGAAAAAACACAAAGTCAGGCTTGGTCAGATAGGAAGATGCATTACAACAAAGTTCCAGTTTCTCTATTTAGCATTTATTGTTCTTATTTCAGCCAAAATGGCCGCTGTTACAACCATAACTTGAACAATCACACTGGTTTATAAATAATCAGCGTATTTGTTAATGGAATCAAATTCTAACTTAGACTCTAAAACAATCCATCTGTTGATTGAATAAACTACTTGCAGCATAAATTAACATACTGATCTACAGGAAGTAAAAATATTTTCCGTTTTAGAAAAATCTTTTTATACACATGCGTATGTGCACAATTTTTTTCCCAATTTCCAACTAACTTCAAATGCATGTTTTTTTTCCTTCTACATTTAAAAAGTTTGTTAATTTTAGGGCTGCAACAACGAATCGATAAAATCGATAAAAATAGACTTTTAAAAGCGTTGGCAACGAATTTCATCATCGATTAGTTGTGTCGCGTGATTAATGCGTCATCCGCCGCCGCCGTCATCACATCCACTTGACTTAAACGGGAGAAGAGAAAAAAATACGGCAGAGCGACTTTTCAGACCCCTCCAGCGACTATTTTCCAAAAAAGCGACTAGCGACAAATCTGCCGACTTTTTACGGCGTCTTTTGGAGACTCTTACGTGAAAGCATGTATCGTTTCTACTCTGCCGTGGGGCGCCTCCCCCATCCCAACCCCGTTCTCCCGCATCCCAACCCCGTTCTCCCGCAGGAGTCCCTCTCAGTGCTGCAGTCAGAGCCGCAGGATTTTTACCCTCAGCGTCCAGACTGCAAATGAAGCGCGCATGCGCCGGGATTGACGGCGCAAATCGATCACAATAACTAAAATAGCCTGCGCTTTGTAAAGTGAAAAAAGTAGTGACATGCAACTTTTGTCAAAACAAAT